TGGCCATGAAAGCACATGAGGCTTTGTCCAGCTCTTCCTGTCTGCCTTTTGCATAAAGTAGTAACATAAAATAATCAGTATGCATTTAAATGTTTCTTTCTGCATCATGCAGCATAACTGCTAACATCCCAACGCCTGCTTTCTTATAGAACTTCTCCTGTGAACTACAAGGCACTTTTTCAGATTTGTCAAATCTTAAGAGGCTTAAAAGTTTAACTGGGTCCTGTAAACCATTCAATGCTAAAAAATCCAGCATCTGTCTGATCCCACCCCTAGAACACACATCCAGCCACCAGGAAAATTCCAACACACCTGTAAGTCACAGCACGATAAAAACCAGTTGGCTCCAGTTTTAACAAACTAAGCAACATGGTGCAGAATGTGTTGTGGGTCTTCCCTATCCTTTTGTAGCTGGTGCTTTTGGGAGAGTCAGTTGACTTAAATTGTACATGATTTAAAAATTTTTACATTATTTTTAAGAAATACTGCAACATCATTACTACCTCATTATAACAGCCTGTAGCCCAGCTGCACACTTAACTAGATTGTTGGTCGCACAAAGCAGGAGAAATTGTATTTTAACAAAATTAAATAACAACCTTGCCAAAACATACACCATTATTTCTCAAATCACGAAGTATTATGTGGAGTCTGACACCTGACAGGCTTAAATAATTATTTGGCCATAAATCCTCTGAAGTACAGAAAAATGCTTTCAAGGGCCTTCTAAAGAACAGTTTGCCCATAAGCTGTGCTCATTTTTCCTTTGATATGCACAAATTTAGTGCTAATACAGCTTAGATTCACCAACAGCCTTTTTTTTTTCATAACAGCATCATAGTAACTCATGAACTTAGATCCACACAATTAGCTGATCAGCATATTGCCTCTTGCAAATTATGGAAATAAATTTAGAAAAAAAAAAAAAGAAGACAATTTTTATATAACAGTACATTTATTACAGCAAAGTAATAGGAAGCCTGGAGAAAATTACATCTAAAGCAAAGTTAAGCAGCTCAGTTGTAACCCCTGGAGGTAACGCTGACCACAAGAAGAACCTTTGAGAATCTGCCCTGAAAGGTCCTCTGTCACATGCATCAATCTCCTCGGCATCATGTGGCCGTAAGGGCTTGCCTCAGATAACCCAGGCATGACTAACCTTGGTGCAGTTTGTTGCTGTTATCTTGACAGCAGACGTCAGATGAAGGGAAAGTAGCTAAAACATGTCATCATACAAGTTTTGCGGGCTATCACAGTACACCTGTGATAATTACATTATTTTGACAAAGGAGGTTGACTTCTCTGTGGTTGTGTAACCCTCTCTCCCTGTAGCCCCGGCTGAAGGCTCCCCAAGGCTTACTTGTACACAAAGCATCGCTCTGACACAGCACAGCTGTACACCCTTGACTCGGACTGCTGAGAAGGAGCTGTGGAAAAAGTCTGTAGAAAGGTAAAAAGTGTACCATTAAAGTCTCTGTTGAGACAGGGATTCTTAGCAGTTCATGAATTCAAGAGGGCAAACAACAATTTGGCAAAGGTATAAAATCTTAAAGGAGTAAAAACCAGGGAGGCTGTTTAGGCTAACCCTTCTTCTCCTGCCTGGTGGCTGCCTGGCTAGGAAAGACTCTCCGAGTGCTTTATCAGAGTGGTGAGTATTTAGCCGAATAGCTTGTTAAACATAAATTTTACATTGTAGACATCCTGCTTGCAGAATCTCTTTGTGCGCAGGTAAAGATGCCCAAAGAAGTTGGTTCAAAAAAGGGGTACTAACCATAGGCATAGTATAAAAGCAAACAAAAAAAAAACCACGGAAGGCAGGCTTCATCAACGGACAGCGAAGCCCAAACTTTTCAGTGGCTGTACATTTGATTTCCATGTGAACACCAACACTGTGTTCAGGGGAAGTGCCTGCTTTTGATTTCTTGAGATATTTCATGGAAGTTTGTGTCATGCTGTTTGTAGAGAACATGTGCCATCTAGTTTTTGCTCAACAGCTCCTAGCCTTGGATTGCATAAGGACCATAACTGTTCTTGTTCTGTATATCTTCTTGTTCATTATGAATGTGGCATGTGCTTTCGATATCCCTGGCAAAATGGACTTTTATGTAAAACTGGCCTACTAAGAATTGGTTCAGCACAGTAAGTGCAGTGTGACAATACCTTAATGAACTTCTAGCATAGTACTCTTAAAACAGTCCACAAACAAGGGGTCAGCTCAGAGAATGAAGAGCTGCTTAACTGCCAAATCATTTAGACATCCTTGCCCCCTTTCCTTTTGACATAGAAGACAAACATTGCAGTGTATGCCATGTTGCTTGCTACACAAAGTATTGCCAGCACCTAAGTACAATTGACAAATGTAATTTTTCCGCACTAAGAGCTAAAATGCACTGAAAGGAGGAAAATAAACCAAAACATGCTGAGAAGAGAGATAAGAGGAAAAACCAAAAAGTGCATTACAAGAAACCGGTATTTGCTATGAACAGAACTACGTAACATTATGCAAGTACTTCAAATAATCTGATTTACAGCAAACCAAAAAGATTATTTCTCCTCTACAGAATAAAGCCTTGAAAGAAGCAGCTGATCCGTAAGATTTTTATCATCTTCCCCGCATCTATAAATGGAATGAAAGGACCCGTTAGTCAGCTGAGTGGCACCTTGTTTTTGATGTGAAATGTGCAGCTTCTTGGTGATTTCTCTAAGAACTCTCCAAAGTCCCTGAGGATAAAAGACATTATCTTTGGACTCATCAAAGTGAGTATAATTTTATCTGGGTGGTCCTAGGCAATCCCAGAGCCTGCGATGTATGCTTAGCATGCATAGTAGTGAAATGTGCTCAGTAGGGTCTCTGTACATTTTTAGAGCATAGCATGCTAAATTAAGAATTTTTATTAAATATAATGGCTTTTTCCTTCCAGCAATTAAAATTTGAAAGAAATACACTTGTCTTACATTTTTTTTCAGACTATGTTTCTGACTAAGCTTTCTAGCCCCTTTAAAAAACAAACAAGAAGACCTACGCAGCTGGTAAAAAGTGCAGCAATCAAAGTCTTTGATGAACATTCGAGCTGGAACAGGGAACAGGTTCCACAGCAGAAATTCCAGGACCCAATGCAGGAGGAAAACAAACAAAGAGGCCTGTGGCATCGTGCATTTTCCCCTTCATACAGCTGCAAGACTCCTTTGTATTTGAGACAATTTGGAATTTATTTAAAAGCTAATTTGTACTTACACACCAGAAAAAAATATTGTCAGCTCATAGAGGAAGGCTCAAAAAAAGGAAAAAGCTGAAAAGACAATGTGTTTGGATTTAAGGTTCAGCAAGCTCCAGCTCTGACAAACAGTGGAGGTAAATCCCACCATCAATATTTGATGCCACTACAGAGGTAATTGCTAGTAAGTGACCATTCTCAATGAAATACACTTTGGGGTCCTTATTTGACATAGGTGAGGATACTGGCCTACATAAGTAAACATTTATTTAAGAGAAAATCTTCAAAATCAATTAATCAGCACAGTAATGTAAGGGCTTAATTAAGCTCACAGCTGCTAGTGGATTTAGGATGTCATTCATTCACAGTTACCTAAGTCTAGTTTGCTACTTCGTTCCAGCACTAATAAGTTACCTCTCCGAAAGATTTGATTTTTCTATTCCCTCCCGACCCCCACTGCCCCTTTCCTTATGGGTCTGATACCCAGCTAGAACAGCGAGCTGATCTGGAGGGCCACAGCACCTCATGATCTCCAGAGCTGGCACAAGAGAATCACTGCCCATTTTAGCAGCAACCCTATCAGGTGAGCCTAAGCCAAAGGGCATCTTCTGCTAGTGGCTCAGCACTTGCAGCTCTTGATATAAAGTGTTCAAGCAGTGCAAAATTCATTAAAAACAGGAATTTATTCTAATGGCTTCTTTGAGGACAATCCTTACTGCCATAATGTATTGTTGTATAGTAAAAATTCATTGAAATATCTCTTGTAGGTAAGGAAACAGGTTCTGCTAGGATATCCCTCCTTATAGATTGTCTGCAGCCTTGCACTTCAGAGCAAGAAAGGGACCGTAATCAATATCCTTGTCTAAATTCCTACATAAGATATGCCAAAGAGACTCAATTGAACAATTTCTGCATCAGGCTTTTGTTCCAGGCAACAGTTAGAGCCGTAACAAACTCCCATGGCAGGATTTCAATCAGGCCCTCTGCACTCCTCTCTTGCAGGCAGCCAAGCTATTTGCAAACACTTTCACACATTCTCCTGCCCATGAGAAATGTAGGCCACAGCTCACCACAAGCAGAATGTGTGAAAATGCTTTTGAAAAGCCCAGCTGCTGGCCTCTTTCTCATAGACAAAGAGTGAAAGCGCATTGCAATACTCCCCTCCCTTCCACCCTGTAAACTCTCCTTTTTTTGCAAAGGGAACTTTCCCCTTTCCGGGGTGAAAATATCACATGGGCCATCTCCCATCCCCCTGCATGCTCTAGCACCACCCTTAGACTACCCTCACCAAGGCTCTGGCCAAACCATAGTACTGGATGAAAAAACAAATAATCACCAAATAAACAAACAAACCCACCCCCAGCTTGTGTTTACTTTTAGATTCTCACTATTTCAAAGTATTTTTAAATATCAACATTGTCCATAATTATTTGATTCTGAAGTAAAAAAGTTGGAAGTTGAAAGGAGTTATATTTGTTTTCATACAAGTAGTCAATCAAAATGGATTCCAATTAGGTGAGTAAACAATACTCTGCTACAGCTAAAGCAGAAATTCCTCAGAAATGTGGGATTTAAAATTAGCATGAAAGGTATGTAAGGTAAAAACGAAGAAAGAAATTACAAACCATAGATAAAGAATATTTCCTTGAATTATGCTCAGATTTTAATCCATTATTAAAATCCATGATTTTCACTATATTGTTCAAAGGTTTCAAACAAGAATATCACTTAACATGGAAAATAAAATGAAAATTTATTTTAAATGTCAGGGTTGCCTACCTGGGTCTAAGGTGCTGAAGGAACTGAACCTTGTTTCTCATTTGATCCTGATTTTGCTTCACATTCTTTGCAAGTATGATGACAACGCCTACAAAATTGAAAGCAGACAAAGTATTCAAGAATTTTGCTGGATTTCTTCTAATACAACCATATAGCATGTGCACAAATGCTCTCGAAGAAGTAATCTCTTGCCTGAGTTCTGCGATTGTTGTAACTGCTTTATAGGACATGAACTGCAAAAGATGAATATCTAAATGTCTCAACCAAGGAAAAGATAGTCCTTGCCCTTTTACCTATCAATAATGAGGAAACAGAGTTAGGAGCAAAGCGTATAATACCGAAGAGTGACAATTAGCCACTTTGTGTAACACCACGTGAGGGAAGTGATAGCTTTGTTGCGTGGGGGAAGAATGGAAGCGGAAAGACATACGAACAATGAGGAAGCTTCCCATTATCAGTGAGGCATTTCCACAGGCATAAAAGCTCACATTGGTCTGGGGGAAAGATGTGGGAAGACAGAGGAGCATGATTTTGTGGGTAGGATTGTTGGAGGTGCATGAAAGGTGCATATGAGAATGGGAATACTGGGAATGGAAAGTAGTACTGGCAGTTGAAGGAGGAGCTTGGAAGGAAGCCAAAGTGTGATTTGACGGGAGAGAGTATTTTATATGAAGTTTAGAAAACAACAACTAAAACATGGAGGTGACAGGAGGCAACCATTGAGATCTATCATATAAGGTGGAAAAAATAGCCTTGCAATTTGTGCTCTTCATGGTTTGGCATGACAGTATGGGGTTGGGCAAAACCGTAGAGGAGGAGGTTGGAACGTGGGTTGAGACTGAAATTGTTGTTAAAATATGAGGATGGTGTAAAAAAAAATCTGCAGTGTATATGGCCAGATGTATGGTACAAAGGAAGACTCAAAGGGCCAAGTGATATAACAGAAGATCAAGACACATAGAGGCACAATACTAGATGAAAAGAGAACTAGTAACTTGTTCCATCACACTTAAAAGTATGATAATTTCATTTAAATAATGGATTTCCTAATAACAGGTATTACACTGAGTTTAATTTGCATTTTCTGAAGAATATTTAGTAGTTTCTAATACTGACATATATAGCCTAAGAATGTAAGAGTAGTACCTCATGTCCTGATCACAAAATTTAAATTTATAGTTTTGCTGCATATTATTTTTACTATTGTAAAGACTATTTCGATCTAGGATTAATGATTTAAATAAGCACAAACCTTTTTTTTTGTGGACAAGGTGGTACAATACCAATTTTCTGGAACTTTTTTTGGCATTCCCCAATGTATGACACCTTTCCCATGGCAAAACCTAAGACACCAGCAACTATAAAGACAGATAACAAACCATCGTTAATACAAGAACTTGAATCAAGAGTATGCAATTGGCTCCATTTTAATCATATGACGAATTGTATGTAGCATGTCTTCTCAAAACATGTCACAAACACACGGGAAGTTATATAGGGATTACAGGGATGATTTCAATAACTATTGAAAACTGGCTGCCTATTGTGAGACATAGCAACTGGTCCAAAACAATGCAGACAGGAAAAGGGTATCATATTAACCTGGAATTACAAGATTTCCGATTCCAAGGAACAGATTATAGAGAAAGCCTACAATGAAGTTAAATCACGTCAGCACTAATTTCTCTTGCCCTTGCATGCACACCATGGTATTTCTGATGATTGCAAATTTTCTCAGGGCTTCTAAGAAGCTGGAACATCAGCCTGCCATACTCTTGCACTGGGACTTTCACTCATTACAGAATCACAATAAAAATATTACCTCAACATCCTCAATTTTCTGTTCAACTTCTGCTGAAGAGGGGAATCAATTTATTGCCATTTAAGAGCCACTTTACTGTACTGTACTGTAGAGTTCTGTGCTTTTATTTGTTGTCTTTATCAACGTGGTTATAAACTAGACAGTTAAGATCAATCAAATGAACATATGAAAAGGAAAATACAATTTTATATATACTGTGATGGCCCCTTGATACCATAAGCGGTGTGAACTGCTAAGCATGGCTGATCAATGAGGCTGACATTATTTATAGGTAAGATTGAAGTTTTAACCAGTTTGAGAAGATATATTAAGTAAATATAAGCTGCTACTGAAAACGTTTACATTAAATGAACTATATTTCAAACATTTATTTTTAAACACAGCAGAATTCTGATTTCCTAAAGCACTGCAGTAACATCTTATAAATTCCAGAAAAGGAAGAATTTGAAAAGAGTTTTAGAGAGATGCATCTAAGGTCTGCAGATTGCCTGTAAATAACCTTTCTTTTCCTTTTAGAATTGGGTACAACTTACTTGCAATCTTAGGTAATGCACCAAATCTTGGGCTTGCTGAGAAAATGCCTACAATAAAAGGAAATAGTCAGAAAACTTATTCATTTGAGGAATTCACCATCACTCAAAACTAAAGACAGTATTTTTCCTACAAGCTTTTGCATTTCTGAAGGTGAAGACTATAAAAATCTTGTTAAGTCCGCTAATTCAGATTTAGGAACATCGGGGCCTTTTCCATTCCACTAGTTCTCAGTGCGTCCATTTTAGTGCAGTCCTAGAGTCGCAGGAGGAAAAAACCTCTGGACTTTGCAGGATTCAGTTCACACAGGCATTCGAAGTGCAAATCAACATGAAAGCAGCATGGCTGCCACTGGTGACACCTGCAACACTGCAGGAGGAGGAGATGGTGGCTTATGTTTCAGCACAAACCAACCTTGTAAATATAATTACAGACTAAAATCTCATACTCAGGGTTCAGCTACTTGTGCTGCGAGAAGCAAGCCCGAATTGTTCTTCAGTAGTTTTCTGTGGCTATTGGTTAAACTTGTGTTAAACTGTACCACAGATACCTAGCCTCCTCCTCTGGAGAGGAGAGATCATACATTTTGGCCTTTATGAGGATAATACAGTGTGCTGAACATGAAAACCAAACTATTAGCTTTTCCTACCAAAATCCACCTCCCCCCAGTTAACACTAGGAGGTGGAACCATTACGCCTCTGCAAGTGTGCGTGTCTGGCAGAGGAGTACCATACTGTGGAGGACGGCTCCACACAGCAAGATTGCCATGGCAAAGGGAAGGGAAGTGGACACTGTTTGCACTGTTCCATGCATTCAGACAGTATTAATGAGGCTCAGAAGCTCCACCTTCTTCTAGAGCAGTGTACTGTGTACAGTCATCAGAGAGGAGTGCTTAGACAGAGGAGCATTCAGTCTGCGCTAAGTGCAAAGGCCTTCACCCACTGGCATCTATGCAATTTTAAATTGGGTCTTTCAGCGGCGGGAGCAACAAAATTGCTGTTTGTTTCTAAACAGCCTCCCTCTTCCAATCATTGACACACGGTAATGATTATTTAATATGGTCATTTGTTATTTCACAGCTGATAAGAAATGTCCAAGTATAATGGAGAGAAACCAAGAAGAGTACTTGGTGGCAGAAGGTGGCATGTTATCTACTGAGACAACCCCAGCGCCCTTCCTATCACTGCTCACCCCTTTTCAAATGTGTAAACCATTGCCTTCCCTCCCCATCCGCCTACAAGCACACAGGTCAAGGATGCAACAGGGAACCTATATCAGCCTCCGGTGGTATAGCACAGCTTTTAGGTTTTCTACTCTAGTCCTCCTGATCATCTTAGTATGAAAAAAGAACGTGATGAGGAGGAAACATGGTAATAGTGGCTGGAACAAAACATGCGGCTTGCAACACCACACAATGAGAAAAGGCTGAGCCATTCCCACCTCCTCCATTTGCTGTCTCCCACCACCCATCCCTTATAGCCCCCGGATTCTTTTCTGCTTCTTGCTTCAGGTCCTGTGATTTTTCTCTTCTCCTATGTGCCTTCGCTGTAAATGGCTGCTGAGGCGGGCTGAAGGACTGTCGTATTTGCTCCTGTGGGATACACCCATCTTAGCACTCTTCAGGGTGGATGCCCTTCACTCTTTACCCAAAACGCTAACCTCAACCTTATTATTAGTGAAGACTCTCGGAAGGGAAACTACACATTGCATGGTGCAATGTGTAGAACCAGGCTCATCCACCACATAAACAGCATACGATTCTCTCTTGTGTTAGCCTGCAGATTGCAAGCCGTCTCTATAAAAAGCTCTCTGTCTCCTCACTTTGGCAGTATTCCTTGTCCCTTTGCACCAAAGCTGTATTCATATTGATATGTGGTCTATGATATTGATATGTGTATCTAGCCACCAGTCTTTGAATTCATGAATTCTCTTTTCAGTTCATGTTCTTTCAGAAGAATGACTGTGGCAATGCATACATAATGATCAAATCACTAACAATGATGGCGATGAGGGAGAGGAATATTGATCTTGAAAAGCAGCAGGCGTTAGGGAAACTTGCACTTCAGTAGTAATTCCAGAGTCTCTACTTCATAACTTAGGACCACCGTGTACTTTTTATATTTACCTTTTGAGATTAGCCCCTGGGTGACAAGCATGCTCCCAAGAGACAAAGGAAGAGCTGGAAAAACAAAAAAGGGAGTGTATTTGGTATTAGCTAAAATTCGTTACCTATTTGTTAAAGACATTACTCTTTCATATGTTAAATGTTTTATATGTTTAGAATGTTAAACACATTACTCATCTTCTAAACATTAACTTTGCGTACTGTTTTAATCACCTGTTACATCTGCTCATTCAGATTACTACCTCTTCAAAGCAACGATGTGTTCACGCAGTGCCAGACATCAGGCATGCTGTAGCATCTGGAGCTAATACATTATATATATTTATTAAATAATAGCTTCCATAATCTGAGTATCTCTTCTCAGTACTGCAACACTAGTAATGACAGCAGGTCCAATTAAATGCTGAAATCCTTTTCGATCTTCTCCTTTCAGAAAAAGTGTCATTTAGATACAAACTGACATGGTGGACTGAAAAGGCAATAAATAACGAGTAACTAATCTCTTAGATGTCCTAACACCTAGAAAGTTTCACAAACCCGAAACGCATAGCCATGTCTGCCTTTCATTCAAAGGCAAGAGTAAGTATGTAATAAAGTAAAATATTTCTAAGGTTGTTTTAATAATGGACTTCAAGAATAGAACCAACTCTATGATTGTTAAAGTAAGTTCATATTAAACAAGAGCTTAATTCAACCACCTTTACCTACAATGATTACGCAAATAATTCACTTAACCCTATAGTAACATATTGCTCAATTTAAAATAAGGTGACAGAGTTAACCCACAATAATATTCCAACAAACCCCAATGTAATACAATAAATGGCATGGCATTTTGCAGCTTGTTTTGCATAACTACATCAAGATATCATTCCCAGTATGGTAAGAACAAGTTTGGATCACTCACCTCTGTACCAGAAACTTTCCTCTTTACATTCTTTACGGATCCTTGCAATTTCTTCAGCATCGTGAATTTGTGAGATGGGAGAGGAGAACATTGGCTGGAAGGATAAAGCTGGGTTAGTTTATTGAATCTAATCTCACAGGAAGAAGAAGAAAAAAAAACAATTAAAGAAGACAAATTATTTAAAAAAACCCAAATAAAATACAATGCAAAAAACAACCAAACAAGCAAACCTCCTTGTTCTGTTGTTAGCAGTGTGATGAAATACTTGATACCCCGATGCAGAAACAGAAAGAACTACATAGGTTTTAAAGTTAAAACCACTCATCCTGTTGGTCTATATTTTCCTAAAATAGCTCAGCTGCTGCTTACCCTAGAAGTATATTGCTTTATTTCTGTTAGCTATTTCATTCTTACAAGCGACATCAGCTTTCTGGGACAGAAAGGACAGGAAATAAAGGCAGAGTGCTAGTTTCTAAAAATTAAGTTCTGCCCCATACAGAAGTCAATTTAATTTCAGTTAGACTAGATTTTGTAAGTATTCAGAAGAGGGTCAACATAAACTCTTAGATACCCCTAACTAGCCTAACTTTCTCTCTGAGCAGTTTAAATATATTCATGGCATTAACTGAACTCAACCATACTGGCTTCACCTTCATAATAATTAGCTTGCTGACAGGCTTCTTTTAGGCTAATCATAGCTCTTTTTTTTTCCCATTTTGATTGTGAGAAAAAACTGACAGTATTCTCTCTTGCACTCTACTATCCAGGGTATTGACATGTGAATATAAGTACATAATTTTTCTTTCTTTAAGAGATGACTTGGTTATCAGTGTTAGCACTTGCAGTATCATTATTGGGTATCTAAAATATACGGGTGTACTGGTTTTGGCTGGGAAAGAGGTTGTTTTCTTCATAGTAGCTGTTATGTGCTGCGTTTTAGATTTGTCACCAAACCAGTGTTGATAACACAGGGACGTTTTATTGCTGAGTAGTGCTTGCACAGCATCAAGGCCTTTTCTATTTCTCAGGCTGCCTTGCCAGTGAGTAGGCTGGGGGTACATGAGAAGTTGGGAGGGGACACAGCTGGGGCTGCTGACTCCAACTGACCCAAAGGATATCCCATACTGTATGACGTCATACTCAGTAATAAAAACTGGTGGAAAGAAGGAGTCTTCATTAAGTTAAAATTAGTTGAAATTTTAACATTTTTCTGTAAAACCACAACCTCTACAAACATACATATTCTTGACAGCAAAACCAGATTTTGTAAAACAAGCAGTGCCTTGGGCAAAGAGCACATTAGCCTATTACAGGATTCCATGCCTGACTGATCCATGATTTTGTAACCATAGTAATGAAATGCATTTATTGGCCGCAGCCACACATTTTACATTTTAGCTAATTAATATCTCCATTCTTCTTCAAGCACTGCTCCCACTAAAGTTAATGGTGGCGCTACTTGGGTAAACAGGTAGAGAACTAACTCCACCCCAGCCCTAGAGAACCACCCCAAACTGGTTTCACAGCAAGGTCACAGCAAATACAATAAAATCCAAACAGGCTGAGTGAAAGATAAGGAAATGAGTGTCAGGGCCCTAAGTGCACCAACAGGCTTTGCAGCCTTTCTGTCCCCATGCACACCGTGCCAGGGGTTTAGTTGCTTGGGCTCAAAGTCAGCTCTAATATGGCACAGTTGTGCAACACTGAATCAGAGTGCTGCGAAAACAATGAAACTGGGCGAAGGAGCTGCAAGAAGCTTTGCCCAGGGCCTCTGCCCCTTGGCTCAGGAACTGCATTTAAGCTCAGGCCCTCGCCTAACTGTGTTGTACGTATGCCTGTACCTGGCCTTTTACCATGATGATCCCTCCCTTGCCTTGCTAACTTGACATCCTGGGTTACCATCAGACTTGCCTTATTCCTACAGACTTTCCAGGCAGTTACTGGACCAACTGTTGGCCGACCCCAGTTAACATCACTGGATCTGCTCTGCTGCTCTTTTTGGGATACTGTGGGACTGTGCTCCTTGTCCCCGAGGTTACAACCCCTGCCCACCTTGCTGTCACTCCTGGGTCACTTTGTCTTGCAGATTAGCCCACTTTTGCTGCTCGCTGGCAGCGACTGGTTAGCAACAAGGTCACACCACATTTAAATTCCTTGCAGTTAACTACATGCTTATAGCATAAACTGATAAAATTGGAACCCCTGTGGGTAACCAACTTCTCCAGCAGAGGGAAACGCTCATCTTCCATACAGCTGGAGGGCAGGTTCTTGTGCCGTACTGTTCCCTTCTCCCCTTCTGAATACATACACACACATGTGCAGAACTTGACGCAGACAGGTTATACTGGACTAGTACTCAGGCACTAAGGCTCTGACAGTTTGTAACTGGTTTAACTATCATAGCATAAATCAGAGCCCACTATCTTAAGACTCAAAAGCTCCTAGCCCTCTGAGTGTAATGAATCAAGAAGAATAACACATAGCCCTTTCTTCTCTTCATTTATATGCTTAAGCTAACAGACATCTGTTTCTCTCTGCAATAAGAGCGACCAATGCAAATTCCCAGTCATTCACTAGCAATAGCATCAAAATAAAAGGGAGGAAACCCAGCTTACCCATCCAGTTTGCTTTAGTGGAGATGTCTGACTTTCCTGTTGAGTTGTTTCAGAAGACATTGTCTATTTCCCTGTACTCTTGCTGCTGATCTTGGTCAGCAAAAATTGCGCGTTTTATGTGTGGCTATCTCTTTCTGCTAGGTACAAAGGTAAAACGCCAAAGTATCATATTGATACTGTAAGTTCAGTGTTCACCTAGAAATAGAAATGACCAAGCAGAAAGGAGTATATTTTTGTACAGCAGATAGCATCCAGTCACCTGATTACATACAGCTTACAGCGCAGTGTATCACTTCTTAGCAATACAGAGTTGTGTATAGCCTAATTCAAACAAGGAAGTGGGTAAATACAATTAGATGCCGGATCATGACCTAGCACAGCACTCTGAATCATAAAGAAATGAGAACAAATATGAGCACGACATCCAAAACCTTTCTAATTTTTATTGTATTGCAGGTCAAAAATTTAGCTTCTTCAGTGTGCTGTCCAGAATCACTGTACTATTCTATGCTTATTGCCGTGATCTTAAGTTTTGATTCCACAGGACCCACAATGCAAGCGTATCACAAACCACATCTGTATTTCCAAAAAAACACAATCCAGTTACAAACATGCTTTTAAAAAAAAAAACCCCTATGAAGAATAAATAGATTTCCAAGTCCAGTTACAAACATGCTTTTTAAAAAAAACCCTATGAAGAATAAATAGATTTCCAAGAGTTTTAGAGTTGCAGTCTTCCATGCCTGAGAATTGTGCTGCTAGGGAAAAGCAAAAAAGACTCCCATTTATTTCTGGAGTAATTCAAACATCTAAACTGTGATTTTTACCTAGTACTTTGCTGCATGGTTTGGCATTTTATTTATCAACATACAGGGCACCTTTTCAAAAAGTGCCTTCTGAGAATGGTAGTACTGAGCAAGGCTTAAGTGACTGCGAAGGACAGAGTTAAACAGGAAACATATGCAACAATTTAATGACTTGAATGGTTTTTGGCATTCATAATATTACTGTATAAACCGCTTCCTGCACTTATTTTGGGGTCAGTTACACAACTATGAAGTTCAAGCAACGTCTGCTTCACGCACACTGGATAGTCAGACAGCAATGCTTTTTTAAGCGATGGAACAGAAGCAACATGACCTCCTCTCCCCTCACTAGAAAGACTCAATTAAGCATTGCATTCACACAAATCTGCATTTTATTCTCAGCCACTCTCAAAAGCGACAATGACCGCTGTGTCTTTGACAAAAAATGAAGTTTGAAAACCACATAAGGTTGGGATAGCCCACAGCTCTTCGCTGTCTGCCTCACCCTGACTAAAAATTTCCATGAGTCTCTCGTCATTTAATGCAAAAAAGGAGATAAAAGATGAGAAAAATGCATAAAACTGAGACACAAAATTTTCTTATTCTTATCTGCTTTCTTAGTTTTATCTGCTCACAAAGCCTGCCTGTGCAGACAGAAGCATAAAAAGCATCTCTGGAAAGTACTACTGACTGATATGGCTTCTAACTGCAGCAACAGATTTTAAGTGCTCATCTTTTTCATAAGAACAAAAGAGATGAATCACTGGAGAAAATAAATAAAATTTTTAAAAAATTAAGGAGTATAAATTAGGTTATAAAAATTTGCAGCTTGCCATTAACCTCCTGTATTGTCTTCAGTATACATTTCTCCAGAATTATAAGTTATTCAGCTACACTTCCACTTCAACATAACAAAGAATCCCCAAAATATGTAGCCCTTCAAGCAGCTTCCTGGTACCTCTCCCACCTAGGATGAAAGATGAAAGCTATACTGGCAAGAATGAAGCAAAGGGACAGAGTCGAGGTAATCAAAATATTATTTAATTGAATTATTAATATTAGTACTTAGTACACATGCTGCCTCCTATCTGAGGAGTGTAAAAGCGTTCCAGTACTTTGGGGCATTGTGTCTTGGAAAGACAACTCTCATCCCCCAAAATAACTTTATTTGCCTTGACCTTTTGAGGAAACGCAACTTTCTTGCATATTTTTACTGCAACACTTATTGCTATTTTCTCAACATAACTATGTAATTGTTAGTGTAACAATTAACTGCATATTGTCTTAGCTGCATTGAGAATTCGTCAATGATGTTATTCTCCTGCTTAATTGAAATACCTATATAACACATGATTAAATCAATGTAGCTTGCAAGGATCAAATATTCAAAAAACTTATTCCTATTCTACAAGAACTGTTCTGGATTGTTTACTCACTTACAGAAGCAAAGGCTAATACAAAACTCCTGCAAGATCTCATGGTTTTGATTCTTCTAACTGGTTGATAAAGAAGCTGTATGCCAGAAGAGAGCTATGTTTTTCAGATGTGGGAATTGGCAACTTCATATACTCTGTTTTCAGTAAGAAGCCTCCTTCCAAATAGGAATGGTGACCACATAATTTCTAAGATTTTTGGGGAAGAAGGTGGGAGACAAAATTGCATGGGTTAACCGGTATATACAATTGACCATGATCTACAGTGGAGATACTGTGCATTTGCTTAGGGCAGGTGCCACTGAAGTACAGTGATCACTGAGACAACTTGTTAGGACTTCAGGGAGGCCCTTTAATGACTGAGCGTCTATTGTGAGGAAGAGGAGAAGACTCACTATGATCTTTCGCACGTATCTTCTGAACTAGCACTTTATTTTAAATCCAGGCTCTTATTTCAAAGGACAATCAACAGAGCAGCTGCACTGGGTCTTCGATGAAAAGCTCCCTACCAACAACTGGGTGGACACCATGAAGCGGGTGAACGCCTCATGCTTGCCC